AGAAAGATGAAGTGACAGTCACATCTATGGAAATTTGTGACGATAAACGCCATACGCTTAGATTTGACGAAAGCGATGTTTCTGATGTTCCTTTGGATTAAATAGTGGAAAAGTTACCAAACCCAGATCTAACTCCAAAAGGGAAAATATTGTTTTATTACATTCCAGTAGCTGTACTAGTGTTTTAAAAATAGATTGATATTTACTTAAAGTGCAATAGTAAGACTGATTTGTTGTAAGCTGTGAGAGTTACTAGTTAAGTTAGATAAAGCTTCTTAGCTCAGAAGCTGTATAGTATTAAGAAAATTAATTTTAGAAATTGTTTTTTCATAAATATCCAAACTTTATTTTAGTATAGTTAAAATAAATAAAAACAAAGAGTTCGATTGCTTACATTCAATCAAAACAACACTTTTTTTTTTCTCCATATAAACGTTCCCCTGGATGAGATAACAGTCCTCTGTCGTCATTTTTTATAAATTCTTCCATAATTCGAAAACAAATAGCATTGTATGTGGGCTTTTGAACCGGCATATTACTTTAATTAGTATCTCTTGATTTATCTATATATTTTCTTAATTTAATGGGTGATTTTTTTGCTAGTATCTTTTTGGCAACACTGTTTTAGACAGATTACGCGTGAATCGTGTCTTGTGTCACTGTCAAACTTGTTCAGTTTAGCCTATAATTTAACCATGAGTCGACTTACGAACGAACAACGCTTGCAAATTATTGAATTTTACTATCAAAGTTCACGCTCGGTTAAGAGAGTGCATCGAGCACTGCTTCCAATTTAAGGGCAATTTGGTCGGCCTACTGAGGGAGCTATTCGGAAGCTTGTGACTAAATTTCCAACCCAGTTTACATTATTGGACATTAACGTAGAGTGAGGACTGAAGAAAATATTGCGGCTGTATCCGCCAGTGTTAGTGATGACCGTGAAATGTCGATTCGCCGCCGTTCGCAGCAATTGGGCCTCTGTTACTCCACTACGTGGAAAATTTTGCGACAGGATTTGGGTGTAAAACCTTATAAGATACAGCTGATGCAAGAATTAAAGCCACACGACCTCCCACAACGTTTCCAATTTGGTGAATGGGCGCTAGCAAAGTTGGAGGAAGATCCACATTTTTATCGAAAAATTGTGTTCTGCGACGAAGCTCATTTCTGGTTGAATGGGTACGTTAACAAGCAAAATTGCCGCATCTGGAGTGAAGATCAGCCAGAAGCATTGCAAGAGCTACCAATGCATCCGGAAAAATCACTGTTTGGTGTGGATTATGAGCCGGTGGCGTCATCGGGCCGTACTTCTTCAAAGACGACAATGGCCGGAACGTAACTGTGAATGGCGAGCGCTACCGTGCGATGATAACAAACTTTTTTTTGTCCAAAATGGAAGAGCTGGACTTGGCTGACATGTGGTATCAACAAGACGGTGCCACATGCCACACCGCACACGAAACAATGGCCCTATTGAGAGGCGAGTTCGGTTAACAGTTTATCTCACGTTTGGGGCCCGTCAGTTGGCCGCCTAGATCCTGTGATTTAACACAGTTGGACTATTTCTTGTGGGGCCATGTTAAGGCTAATGTCTACAGGGATAAACCAGCAACGATTGATGCACTGGAAGCCAATATTGAAGCATTTGTTCGTGAGATACCGGCCGATATGTTGGAGAGAGTGTGCCAAAATTGGACCTTGCGCATGGGCCATGTAAAGCGGAGCCGCGGCCAACATTTACATGAAATAATCTTTAAACATTAAATTATAACGACCGTTCTATCGACTCAAATAAAGATTTAATAATTTTTTTCAAATTTTTTGTGTTTTTTTGAACATCAAATCTTATACCTCTTAAAAATCACCCGTTATAAGAATGATATGGTTGGGACAGTCTTGTTTGGGAAACCTTCCAGTTAGTAGAGAAACACCCATTAATATCCGACGGACGTAAGGCATCTCCCAACAGATCTTCTCTGCCGGCGTAATTCTGTAGAGCCTCCTTTATTGGTGGACATAATTGTGTGTGTGTATGAAAAGTTACCCAAATAATTGAATCTTTCAGAGTATACATTACATCCAGTCAACATTGCAGTCCGCGATGTTCCAGCCTAAGTCACAGTCTCAGGCTGCATCTGCTAGAAAATGGAAAGGGGTGGCCCGTATGCTTCAAATGTTATTTTTTGGCAACAATTTGTTTAATAACATAGTCATAATCGTCTTGGCAATAGTCAAGGGAGAAAAATTGATTCTAGCAGCTCATAAGCCTTCTATGGTGCACTGGAAGGTGTTTTTCGTATATCAGGTACGTTTGAAACAATCCCTCTAGATTAGAAAGCATGATCTGTTTGCAAAATACAATATGACTCACATTGATCTGCTTTTGCATTTTAATGAGGAAGCGTAATCAACTTATTACCCTTTGATTTAAAGTAATCCTAGCATCTTCCAAGGTACAGGAAGAAGATGCACATAGACCGGGAGATGCAAAAATGGGGGGGGGGTCATGTGATACAGCAGGAAACCTACCCAGAACGATAGTATTACATGAAAAAATAACTTCTAGCACTATGCCGTCGCTTGAGAGCGGTACATGTAAGTACAGGGGAAGATTGAATTTTCTGTCCAGTAGGGGTCGGAAGACTAAATGATTTTTTACGGCTTTCTTTAGTATCACAGATGCCCTCCCGGTCTATGAGTCTTTACAGCTTTAGATAGTTATGGTATAAACTGAATCCAAATTCCAGATGAGATGTAAATAATAACAGTTAGCGCGTGATCTCTCGGTAACAGGTGGGGACAACGCCTCTTATTGGTCAATTCCCCATTAAATTTCAAGCGGTCGCCTGTCGGAATGATGCGCGGGGCAGGGGTAGCGCAGGCAGAGTTGCACTCAGGCCACCGTCCGTCGCGTGTATCACTGCGTGCTCGTGTTTTCGTATTCACCTTGCTTGGTTGTTGCTGTTGTTTTTGTTAAGTGTATTTGAGTAATTTGTTAAGTTTCTGTTAAATACTGTCATCTTTGTTTTACAACACGTTGGTGGTAGTCCATGATTCGGAGGTAGCTCTGAATGCGGCTCTGTACGCAGTCCTTGCTTTTGGCAATCACGCATACGTTGGACCCCCTTCTATTAGGTTGCGCTGCTGTTAGAGACTGTACCTTCAACGGAGACCCGTCGCCTCGCCCAGTTTACTCCGTACTAAACAACCTGTTGCGTTGTGACGGCGACGATATCAACGCATTCGTAAGCGTGCAATACGCCCACCGCCGACGGAAATAAAGACAACGCGACGTATTTACCGTTCGACTATTTTCGGTCGTTTTCGATTAGGGTTCGGCGTATACATTCGTTTTCCGCGCTCGATTTCCAAATTCGTTTTCCGTATTCGGAGACCCGAATGCATCAGACGCTAATAAAATACATTGACTGCCGCACACGTTCGTTTTTTTTTCAGTACATTCCGTACGTACGTTTCGGAAGCAAGCCCGCGCTTTCGTCAAAACGGAACGGATAAGGCTGGGCGCATTCGTTTTCCGTATACGGTTTCCTAATCAGGAATTCTAGTTCGGAATTCCGTGAGCCTAGCGCAAACGTTCAATTTTTTGAAATGAATATTATACTACCAGTACCAGTATTTATATCATACTTCACAAATAAATCCAAGACTAAAGTCACTGTATAATGATGCTAAAAAGGCACATAAAAAATTGATCAGAGACACAAAAAGATCATTCTACCAAAACAAAATTGTATTGTCTAAAAATACCACCAAAGCATGCTGGCAAGTGGTCAATGCAGCAAAAATGAGAACAAAGTTCGAAAAAATATAGTTCTACATAAAGATCAAAATGAAAAAGTGTACGACCCTCAGCTGTTAGCAAATATGTTCAATGATTGTTTTTAAAAATGCTCCAGATGATATAATACAAAAAATTAATACCTCAGATAGTGCACCTGATTTCAAATTTAATGTCAAAAATTATTTCAAACTTTATCCTTATACAGATAATGAGCTCAGTAACTTACTTTTGAAAAAGTTAAAAAATTCCAAATCCTGCGGTTTTAATGACATTCCCAATTTTCTGGTAAAAGAAGTACTACATCTTATAATAAAACCAATAACACACCTTATAAATATCTTATATTGCTGCGGAGAGTTCCCAAGTAGGCTGAAACTAGGCAAAGTTATACCAATTTTAAAAAAGGGGAACGAGCTTGATATTGCAAACTACAGGGCAATCACTGTGCCGTCTGTACTTTCTAAAGTGGTTGAATATGCCTATTTGGATAGACTCCTTCTACATCTTAAGAACAACAATATTTTGTCTCAAAACCGGCATGGTTTCACAGATGGTAAGACCACAATGTCAGCCATACATTCCTTTTATGAGAAGCTTATAGAATACATCGACGCGGGCGAGTGCCCTACTGGGGTAATTTGTGATCTCAGTAGGGCATTCGACTGCGTCGATCACAAGAAATTCTTGGAGATTATTGTTAAATATGGTTTTGTCAGTCTCTTAAATGGGCCAGATCGTTTTTAGTCGAAAGAAAACAATATGTTTCAGTAGAATATCTTGATGCAGGGAACAATATGAAAAACTTTGTGTCAAGTACGTTAGACATCTCGATTGGAGTCCCTCAGGGCTCTATTCTTGGACCAATCTTTTTCCTCTTATACATTAATCAGTTTGATAATGTTCATCCAGATACCTATTTTACAGCATATGCTGATGACGTTTCTGCCATAATATCAAGTAATTCAAATATAATTTTGGAAGATAAATGTAAAATTAGCGGTAGTGCTCAAACGGCATATTTACGAATAGGGGTTTATAAGGCAAAATTGCATATTTTTGTGCCCTCTACAACCCCTATCATTTTGTCGCAATAATTATGGAACACCCTGTATATGCGCCCAACACGCTTTCGATTAGGACGTGCAAACCGTCGCGTAAAATCGCCCGTATAGGGGGGTATAGGCTCTTACTAGACGGGCTTATTACTCTCTTCTTTCTTATACTACCATTTACTATTTGATATTTGAATTCAGGCAGTTATGTGCACCTACAGTGCGAACATGGCCACTGTATATGCCACTTTACTTACCAGTCTGATGATAGAGGTTATAATTCAACTACGTCTAATAGAAGAGACCTTGCAGTACACCACTGACAGTGATGGGTTAAAACGGTGTATCGAACGGCATGCCCAGGTTTTACTGTAAGTTATTTATTCACAATCATAAGTCAAAGTAATTGTATGGCCGGAAATTTTAGTAAATCGACTCGATATTTTTATACTATATTCCTTTACAAGAATATTGACTGGTAGCATCGGAGCAGTAGCAAAGGTTGAAATGGAAACATCCTGCCACGTGTTGTGGTATGAATTCTACTGTACGTTGTAATGTCACATGCGCCTTGTTAGGATGAAAAAGATCAATAATCAAATTCAAGCGAATAACCAAATGAAAATGGTATTTACCATTTTGGATTGGTATTTACTGATTCGTTCAAGCGAGTGTGATTATCAGTTTGGTTATTAGATCCGTGACGTCATGAATCAGCTGTTATGTGTCATAGTTATCACCGCAAAATTGTGGTATTTACCCAACTCAGGAGTAGTTTTACATTTCTGGTTATTATTTGAAATGTGACAAGTTAGAATTTTGCCGGGCCTTGGATATTTTTGTTTTACTTCAGCTTCATTTTTGAGAAACTTGATCCAGAACCACCTCAGCTGTAACATAAAGTTAGAGCTATACTCATTACTGTTGTTGGGGACACTTTAAATCTTCCTATGTCTAACAAAGTATCCTGTGTAGCCATATACCACAACAATATTCAAATATGGCCATATAAATATATACGGTTTTACTAATATATTTTTTCGTCACATATTCCTATCATTTCTGCTAAATCAATAAATGTTTTTTTCAAATGCGGAAAAGTTTAGAGAATTGAGTGCTATCATAGCTACAAAACCATGGTTCTATCATTAAAAATTATTTTCTAAAAAAAGAAACATTTCTCACATTAACATTATAAAAGCTTTCTTTTTAAACTTTCGATGCACTGTTGTAGACCAAAAAGCACCGATTATTAAGTGATAATAAAAATAATCAGAAATTATATACGCGCTTTTCTAAAATAAACCACCTGCAACAAAACCGCGGTTAAAACCAACGCGTTCAAGCGATTTGAGTAACTGACGTCATCAACACGAGCGTCATCTTAAACTATATTATAACCGCGGTACATGCCACAAAAATTTTGGTTGTTCGCTTGGATTTGATTATTAAGTATGTTACGTCAACTGTCAGTAACGACCCTGCATCCTTGCGCCCTATCGCTGCACAGTATTCAGTAAGATTTCCGTCACTGTCACTGTCACTTATTCAAACAATTATTTTACGAGAAATTATCAAAGGCAGTTTTACTTAGCATAATTAATATGAAAAGGTAAATTATTTCGGGAATACAATCATACATTTTTCATTTGCGCCTCTTGAAAGAAAATTTCAGCAGGCTTCCATGGTCCAATGGTATAGTATAGTTATTAAATAGGCCGCATGTATATATTATGTAATATGTGGTAAAGGTATGTTTTCAATCTAACAAGTTGCACATGTGCCGGCATATAGGCTGCAACTTGTCTAAATGAAAGCACACCTTCCTGGCACTTGTGCCGTAACAGGTTGCAGGCTGCTTTCATTTTGCGGCTCGAAGTTGGAAATGGAAACGTACCATAACTTTACTCATTCGAAGGCAGGAAAAAAAGTGTTAGGATTGATGATATAATTTACTTGTTCAGCAACCCAGGAAGTATTGTGACCGCGAAAGATTTCGATAGAAGTGCGATATTATGTTTTTTTTTAATGTCATGTCACTCATTTCCGTTCGTCCGTCTGTGAGTCTGCCCGCTAGTACTTGAACCGCTTATAACTTGTAAAGTACTGATCGGTTTTGAAATTTTCATACAAGGTTACTACTATGCTTTGGACGAATGAGGTTTTTAGATTTTGGAAGTCGGTCTAGTGTCCACGGAGAAAAAGGCCAAAAACGGTTCACCTAAAAATAGGTTGATCACCTTTTTTGATGTTTTAGAGGCTCCAGATCATTTTGGAAAAATCACGGGTAAAAAATGTGGGGGTTTTAGGTGGGTGGGGAGGGTATTATTCAATTGTTTAATGTTAACATATTTATACGCTTCCAACTTTAGTAATTCCACGCACCTATTTATTTTCACACATCATAAATTTCCCCGTACACTTGCCCTTAGAACAAAAGCATTCTCAGCAAACGGATCGCGTTAGACATGAGCCAGGAAAAGAGCCCAGTTTCCGCGAGTAAAAGCAGATGCGATACAATTTGAAACTAAATGAACCAACTTCATTCGAAAGACGAGTCTAGGATGTTGACATCTAAGAAAATAGTATTATAAATATCTGTAATAATAAAAATTTCAGTACTACGCACTGAAACTTTCAACAAAATACATATACTAAGTGACATATAAATCCGAACACCCAGTTTAAATGGTTTTATTTCAATAAAATCTTGTATAAGTACTTAATGAAGCATAATAAGTAAATGATAAAAATTTCAACCCTGATGTGCTACGCATTCTCCAACGCGCCTAGACATGCTTCTGATTAGGTGGTCAATGTCCTCCTGTGTTATCTCATTCCAGGCAACCACCAACTCCTCTCAAAGTGCTTCTAGAGTCTGAGGAGGACGTTGCAAATTGAACAATCTCCTACCCATCATATCCCACACGTGCTCAATTAGGGATAAGTCGGGAGATCTTGGTGGCCATGGTAACAATGTGACATCATTATGTTGAAAAAAGTCTATTGTGACTCTTGCAACATGTTGTCGGGCATTATCTTGTTGGAAAGTTGGATCTGCCAGGGTGTCAAGATAGGGTAAAAAATGGGGTTCTAGAACTTCGTGGATATAACGCTGCGCGTTCATGTTACCTCTGATGAAGATTAAAGGTGACCTGGAACCATAAGCTATAGCACCCCAAACCATAACTCCAACAGTGTGATGAACATGTCTTTCAACAAAAAACTGTGGATTCCTCCTTTCACCACGTCGCCTTCTAACCCTGGCACGACCATCGTGCATGCCTAAACAAAATCGAGACTCGTCACTAAAGACAATACTGTTCCATTCCTGATCCCGGAGTGACCGTTGTCTGCACCACTCAAGGCGATTACGTTGGTGTTCTCGAGTTAAAGGGAGGACCCAGTGTGGCCGGTATGAAAACAAGCCAAAACTTCTCATTCGTCGGTAAACACTTAGCATGCCAATAGGTCTTCCGTGTTCTGCAAACCATTCATCTGCAATGGACCTGGTCGTGGAGAAACGGTCCTTTAAGGCCAATAATCTTAGGCGGCGATCTTCACGGTCTGTTGTTCTACGGCGGCGTCCAGTGCCCCTTGCTCTTTGCGTACGGCCTTCTCGAAGCCATGCCTGACAACACCTAACCACAATGTCTACACTTCTTTGCACTCTAACTGCAATTGCCCGAAAAGAAAGTCCAGCTTCCTGAAGTCCCACTATACGACCCCTATCAAACTCGCTAAGTTGACGAAATCGTACAGGTCTCCGTACTCTAGGCATCGTAACCGATCGTAAAGGATGTCAAGAACCAAAATCCGCCAACGTTGATTCTTTACTGCGGCTGAAATATTCATTTTTAGAGCGTTAGTGAATTAAAAAAAAGCAGTATAAAAACCGGAATGTCGAACTGATAAGGCTGAAAATTTTTTCACTTGTTATTTACAGTAAGATAAATACATTCACCAACTTTTATCAAAATAAAACCATTTAAACTGGGTGTTCGGATTTATATGTCACTTAGTATACTATTTGTACTTGTTCATAATGGAGCTCCAGGGAGTACAGAGCTAATAACACCAAAGGCTTGTTTTGGGGAAGGGATTGGATTTCAGGGCGCTTTCCTCTTTTTCAAGTTTTCCTCTGTCGGACTTGATTCTATTTCTCCATTAATGTGAAGAATAATTGCGGGTGAATATTATTGTCCTACGGCTTTGTTACTATGACAATAGTTGTATTTCCTATATCCATTTTTAAGGTTCTTCAAAAAGGTGCAGAGCCTATGTGGGCTGGGAATATCTTTCATTTTGTCTTGTGGAGTGTTTAATATGTGCACTAGTATGTCGCTGCTTCTACAGGTGAGCTTGAACATTGAACGAACGGTTTCTAGCGCTTCGCGTATGTACAAATACAAAATAAAACATTATTTTATTTGTGTCCCGGTACCACCATACGTAAAGTGCAGTAAAGAACAGCCAAATTGAATCAATAAATAAACGAGGAAATTAAGGTTCGATGTTTGGACTGATTCGTGAATATAGAAAGTTAAAAATGAGATGTAGCAAGTATATTTAGTTTTACCCTTCGACGCCAATAGCTAAAAGCGAAATTTGCAAAATTGTTTTTTAAATTCTCCAGTAGCTTCATGCTAATTAAAGTGTCCAAAAATTATGGATTTGATACGGCTTAAAAGACCACAAGCCACTCAAAACTACTGTCTTGTCTAAATAATGGCTCAAGGTTGCAATTCTATGCCACAGACAAAAAAGTAATTCCTAACGAATATAAGTCAGTTTATGCAGATGCATGATTTTATGAATTTCTCAGAGTGCTAATATGGTTTTGAAAGTTAATCAATTTCGTAATTAAGTAGTCTTGAAAAATGAGCGATGAAAACTAATTTCCCTCTCTATCTCTGTCTCTCAATGAAATCAACATACAAACTTGAATGATTTTCCTGACATATTAGATGACACTATTGCCGTTCTTAAAGCTAGAAATCAACAAAGAAAAAATATGTTTTTCTGTCATCCTTTGCACAGTGGTTCAGAGGGTACCATTTCCATGAAAAAAGTCACAAGATTTCTAATTTTGTTACTGGTAAACCGATTTTTATGGGCCATACCTCATTAAAAAGCTAAAGACATTCTCTTTAAAAAATTACATAAAAGATTGACAAATGTCAAGAATTAGTTAATCAATTTCGTAATTAAGTAGGCTTGTAAAATGAGCAAATGAGCGATGAAAGATGCTGCCTTCAAAACTAATTTCCCTCTCTATCTCTGTCTAACAATGAAAACAACATACAAACTTGAAAGATTTTCCTGACATATTAGCTGACACTATTGCGTTCTTAAAGCAAGAAACCAACAAAGAAGAAACATGTTCTTCTGTCATCCTTAGCACAGTGGTTCAGAGGGTACCATTTCCATGAAAAAAGTCACAAGATTTCTAATTTTGTTACTGGTAAACCGATTTTTATGAGCCATACCTCATTAAAAAGCTAAAGAAATCCTCTTTAAAAAATTACACCAAAAAAATTGACAAAAGTCAAGAATCGAAGATGGAAGCACTATACCTTAATGGTCTTTACAAAATTTTAACACATATTCCCGAAATCAAAATAAGCCGATTTGAAGTAACTTACCACAATTGCTCCGATTCCGACATACAGCGTGGTAAAGTTAGAAAATAAAAATCATTTTTTTTAATTCATAAACATTCCTTAACGTATTACTTCAAACAGCTTTTTGCCTTTAATGGACAAGAAGTAATTTTTTGCAATAAAAAAGCCTCCATGTTATTTCTGTCTTTGCGTAAACTGGTATCCGCCGCAAATGTTGTTTAATAACAATCAATGGCCTTTATCCGTCACATGGTTACAAAATAATTGGCTTAACAGGAATAGTGACGAAAAGGTAGAGTGTCCGCTTATGCTGTTTTCCAACCCGACCTAAAACCCATTGACACGAACTAGTAAAAAAAGTACCTACATTTAAAAGGCACAGTTCAAAAATCGACCACCAAAAAGAGAAATGCTTAAAATATTACAGATCTCAGAAAAAGGAAACAATCAATTATCTTTCACTTCTTGAATGACTAGAAACTAATGAACGAATCCTCAATTGTTTACCCCTTTTACCAAGGCTCTGAAAGTTCTTCATAAGTTGTTGTTGATTCTTGCTCAGAAGTAACAACGGTTTTCTTGGAAGGCGGAAATGCTTGGTTTAACCAACCCTCATTTTCCTTTATAAGAAACTTCTTATGTGTATGACAAAATTTCCAGCTAATTTCCACAGATTTATAAAATTCATCAAATGTTTATCTAATGTTTCTACATTAATGTTTTTCTAGTGTAGAAAATATAACTTAAGCGTTTTTAATTAATTTTGGTTCTGCTCGTTAAATGAGTCAATATTTTTCATTTTGGTTGGTTTCTGTCGCGCACTAAACTCTAAAAATCCTACAAAACTTGCAAATATTTGCTAGTTTTTTCTTTGTGTTGTGTCTCAAACGCACAAATTGCAGGGATTTACTGAAAAATATGCCACGACAGCGCAAAGCGACTGTCAACGTTCCTTTCAAATTCTTCTCTTATCTTTCCAAATGTCAACTATACTAAGTGACATATAAATCCGAACACCCAGTTTAAATGGTTTTATTTTAATAAAATTTTGTACAAGTACTTAAAGAAGCATAATAAGTAAATGATAAAAATTTCAAAATGATTGCACTGCTTTAAAGCCCTTTGACCTTTAATAATGTGTGGATGCACCCTGATGTGCTACGCATTCTCCAACGCGCCTAGGCATGCTTCTGATCAGGTGGTCAATGTCCTCCTGAGGTATCTCATTCCAGGCAACCACCAACTCCTCTCGAAGTGCTTCTAGAGTCTGAGGAGGACGTTGCAAATTGAGCAATCTCCTACCCATCATATCCCACACGTGCTCAATTGGGGATAAGTCGGGAGATCTTGGTGGCCATAGTAACAATGTTGAAAGAAGTCTATTGTGACTCTTGCAACATGTGGTCGGGCATTATCTTGTTGGAAAGTTGGATCTGCCAGGGTGTCAAGATAGGGTAAAAGATGGGGTTCTAGAACTTCGTGGATATAACGCTGCGCGTTCATGTTACCTCTGATGAAGATTAAAGGTAACCTGGAACCATAAACTCTAGCACCCCAAACCATAACTCCAACAGTGTGATGAACATGTCATTCAACAAAAAACTGTGGATTCCTCCTTTCACCACGTCGCCTTCTAACCCTGGCACGACCATCGTGCATGCCTAAACAAAATCGAGACTCGTCACTAAAGACAATACTGTTCCATTCCTGATCCCAGAGTGACCTTCGTCTGCACCACGTCGGTGTTCTCGAGTTAAAGGGAGGACCCAGTGTGGCCGGTATGAAAACAAGCCAAAACTTCTCATTCGTCGGTAAACACTTCGCCGCATGCCAATAGGTCTTCCGTGTTCTGCAAACCATTCATTTGCAGTGGACCTGGTAGTGGAGAAACGGTCCCTTAAGGCCAATAATCTTAGGCGGCGATCTTCACGGTCTGTTGTTCTACGGCGGCGTCCAGTGCCCCTTGCTCTTTGCGTACAGCCTTCTCGAAGCCATGCCTGACAACACCTAACCACAGTGTCTACACTTCTTTGCAGTCTAACTGCAATTGCCCGAAAAGAAAGTCCAGCTTCCCGAAGTCCCACTATACAGCCCCTATCAAACTCACTAAGTTAACGAAATCGTACAGGTCTCCGTACTCTAGGTATCGTAACCGATCGTAAAGGATGTCAAGAACCAAAATCCGCCAACATTGATTCTTTACTGCGGCTGAAATATTCATTTTTAGAGCGTTAGTGAATTAAAAAAAAGCAGTATAAAAACCGGAATGTCCAACTGATAAGGCTGAAAATTTTTTCACTTGTTATTTACAGTAAGATAAATACATTCACCAACTTTTATTAAAATAAAACCATTTAAACTGGGTGTTCGGATTTATATGTCACTTAGTATATATTGAACTTAACAGGTCAGAGCCTTCTGTGATTACAGTTACGCCATAGGGCACGCCTAAATTTTTACAAAATTTATGATGAACGTTGATAAACAATATTTTTTGGTTTTGAAGTTAAATAAATGAGAAATGAAATAATGTAGAACTTCGCAAATCGGTGAGTTTGGCATTAAATAAATATTACTGCGCGTCGGTCCAGACAGCCAATCATGGGCAGCAGTTTTGTGCTTTTTTGCTACTTTTCAGCATGGCCTCTCGGATAAAGAATAAAAGCATAGCAGCTATACTCTATCAAATGTGAGATCCATCGAAGTAATACAGTACGGAGCCATCACTAAAGCCTACAACTGCGAAGAAATCAAAACAGTTTACTTAAAAAAGCCAACAGCCACAGTTTGGATTAATTCATTAAGTTATGTCAGATAAGTTCTTCAATCATTCATCGTCAACTGAAGGCAATAAAAATGATAATGTTAAAAGTGTAACACGTTTTCATTTGAAAACTTGGGATGAGGACATCTCATCATAGCAGGAGTATTGAAAAAGTTGTCAGCTTCATTTTTTATTTCAGGTAAACATAGGTAAACTTACTGAAGTACATACATTTTCAGGTCCAGCGTTCAGATATGTTGTTTATTCTACCCTATATCATTGTTATCCTCACGATTATGTATAGTCAGTGTTGGTGTAGCAGCGAAATCGTCAATCAGGTACTTCTTAATAGTGATAATCATCATGTAATTACAGGTACAACCTAAATTACAATCTTTCAACAGCTAACCTCTATAGGTGAACTTAAAGCTACCGGATACTACCTAGTTAATAACGCCAAAACACCCGTCTATCCGACGCACTTACTCCTTTCAGCTCCCTCGCATTCTTCCTTTCTTTCTTTGTTCTTCCCCTCTTTCTTGCTGGTGTTGTCTGATATCTAGGCAACTAGACCTGACAGACCTACTGATATACACAACCCAAGATAAACAATAATAATAACAACAACAATAATAATAATAATAATAGTAATAATAATAATAAATGTTTATTGTCAAAACTATAACAGATAACTAGAAATGACATATTTTAGAACAATAAACTTGGCAGAAAACCCGCAGAAAGCTAACCTTGTACGCTAGCCCTATTAGCTTATGAATAATTACGTACTACTTAAACTAGAAATAAAAAGACACACGTGATTTTCTAAGAACAGAAGAATAAGAACATTAAATAGGATTTTAAAATACATTATAAGACAAAGCGGGAGTATGGATGGCTTCATTTAATTATAGATCCTTTTTAAGGTAAAATGTCTCATTTAGGGCACAAAGTCTATCTTAGGTTATCAGTGTTTTTGTTTTCTGTTCTGTGTTTGGCGCATATATCGAGTATGTTGTCAAAATTGGTAAATAAGTATACCAGGAGTACGAGGGATATCTTTTAAGTTTTAGTAAACTCTTTAGTAAACTTAAATTCAAAGTTTCACAATAATACGTGCAGTGTTCTCACTACAGTGAATATTTAAGTGTCACCAAGTCATTAGAAAAATGAAAATCAACCGAGAAAATTTTCGCGCCATAATTTATTACAACCTTCAGAGACAATTATCGTAACAAGAATGCCTTGCTGAGTTACTATCTGTTTTCGGCAACGAAGCGCCATGTCAGTCGACAATTTCCCGTTGGTATGGAGAATTCAAACGTGGACGGGTGAGGGTGAGTCTTGGCGACGATCCCAGGGTGGGTGCACCAAAAACGGCAGTCACCCAGGAAAACGGCGGTGCTGTGCGCAAACTCATCATTGAAGATAGACTTGTGATATATCGCGAGATTGAGGCGTCCTTGAAGATCTCAAAGACCTCAATTCAAAAAATTTTACATGAAGAATTAGGAGTAAGAAAATTAGTTTCTCGTTGGATACCCCACCTGTTGACTGAAGAGCAGAAAGCAGCCAGGGTTAATTGGTGTCAAAAAACGCTTAACCGTTTCAATTCCGGAAACTCAAAAAATGTGTACAGCATTGTTAGTGGTGATGAATCATGGATTTACTGTTATGAACCAGAAACTAAACGACAGTCGGCTGTTTGGGTGTTTCAAGGTGAAGAAAAGCCACCAAAAGTCATCCGTTCTCGAAGTGTTTCGAAAAACATGGTCGCGACATTTTCGTCAAAAGCGGGTCATATTGCAACAATTCCTCTTAATGAGCAAGGAACTGTTACTTCGGATTGGTATACCACCATTTGTTTGCCAAACATCATCACCGAGCTTCGAAAAATGAACCCCGAAAGAAGAATCATCCTCCACCAAGTCAATGCAAGCTCGCACACAGCCCAAGAAACAAGGCAGTATTTAACGGAAGAAAACGATCTAAGTTCAAACGATTTCTTTACTTTCCCGAGAATTAAAAACAGACTGCGTGGTCAAAGGTTCCAGTCACCAGAAGAAGCAGTTGACGCATTCAAAAATGCCGTTTTGGATCTGCCAGCAAACGAGTGGAATAAGTGCTTCGAAAATTGGTTCGAGCGCATGCAGATGTGTATTAATCTTCGTGGAGAATACTTCCAAAAACAATAAAGTCATTTAAAACTACCTACCGTGTTGTTTTATTTCCATATGCAAAACTTAAAAGACATCCCTCGTATATTGTCTAAATCGGTAGTGTTAGGTGTTGTCTAATTCGGTAACTTTATTCTAGTGATTGGTTTTTATGTTAAGTGGATCAAAGGCCATATCGACTGCTCTCATAATGTTGAATATAAGACTACTTTAACTGATAATATTATTGTACTCATTTCAAGACGTTAAATTTTCATTAACGGAGAGTTTATCAAATGTGGCGTCCCACAGCAAACGATTTCAGGTCCGCTGCTTTTAAAGATATATTTAAATGATCTGTTTCAAATTGACTGTGTTGACAAAATAGTAAGTTTCTTAGATGACACACAGCAGTTCTTTATGAAGGTGATGATTGGTCTCATTTGAAAGGCCTAGTTGAAAATGATTTTGTCAAAATGATCCAGTGGTCTAATAACAGAAAAGTATGCACATTTTTATTATTTTCCACCTATTCTTGACATTTTCCAAATTACACAATCATCATCGTGAATAATCAGATACTAGAAATTAGTAGAGCATCAGATAAAAACTACATTTAAATATTCCTGGATCCACACTTGCTTTGCGATGTTCATATTTTATATAGTTTATATAAAGTTACATATCCTTCGTATAAAATTAAATACATCAAAAGTAATTTAAGAGTAAAATCTGTATGGCTTATGCCATGCCTTGGTCGAGCTACATTTAACCAACGATTGGTTGACATGGGGAGCTACATGCTTAATATTTATGATTTGGATATTTTTAAATGATTCTAAAGACAAGGTTTAACAAACCAAAATTATGGTCAACTGATAAAAAAATATACAGGTATACACGTATATGTCTTAGAACGTCATTATTTCTTAGCGCTCTTTCACATGGTCAGGGGGTTTATCCGTCCGTGTGATCGCCGGTCAACCGGACAAATAGTAATACACAGTTTAGCATAGGTTCTTTCACACTTCCCGGACACGGGTGAATCCCCGTCCGGGCATACAAAACGCCCGGATGTCCCCGCTAGAACTCACGGAGCTCGGACGGGTAATCGCCCGGAATATGCCCTAGCGGACTACAGTGTGCCATGAATGCATTCACATAATCCGGGTGTTTAATCGTCCGATTGGTTTATACTTGTTTGCAGTCCAGTAGCGTGTAGTCCGTTGTCGAACGAAGACCGTGTGTACTCTGCAGTGTAGCTACGAGCATTTGATCATGTCGAAAGAAGTAGAACAAATAGATTCTGAAATCCTGATTAGTTTAGTTCAGGATAAACCAGAAATCTGGGACAAAGCTGCCGAGGATTACAAAAATCGCAACAAAAAAACAGAAGCGTGGAGAAGTATTTGTGCCCAGTTGAAGGAAAATTTTGAAAATTTGAGTGACGGGGAAAGAAAAGAATTTGGTAAGTTTAAAGTTATTTTATTATTTGCCTCTTATTTCTTATGAACATTGAACTAAACATATGTTATGGTTGGGTAATAGTATAATAAATAAAACAAAATTCCTAAATTTTCGACAACACTGCCATGATACTTTGCCTACTTCAGTTAGAAAATAGTCACTTGGAACATTTCTGATATTATTAGCTGCCCTTGCATATTTGCTTGAGCTGGCAAATCATTCATACCCACAACTGTCATGGTATCCTCGAAGTTATAGCCATCTCTTTCTCTCACGAAATTGTGAAGCACTACACAAGCTTTCACAATACTAACGGCAAAATCTGTATTAACATTCAAAGATCGATGAAGAATTCTCCATTTGTTTGTCAGTATACCAAAGGAACACTCAACATATCTCCTGGCTCGGCTGAGGCGATAATTGAAAATCCTTTTCTTCTGTGAAAGTTCCTTTCCTCCAAAAGGCCGTAGTAGATTAATATTTAATCCAAAAGCTTCATCTCCTATGAGAAAATAAGGTACGTTTGGAGCTTCAGAACCAGGTAGAGGCTTTGCAGATGGCAATTCCAAGGACTTTCTTTGTATACTCTTCCACAAACTACTTTCTTTGAATATACTTGAATCACACTCACTCCCATATGCACCTACAACAACATAAATGAACCGACAATTCGAGTCAGCAACTGCCATCAACACAACTGAGAAATAGGACTTATAATTATAGTATAAGGAACCACTAAACTCGGGTTTTACAATTCTAATGTGTTTCCCGTCCACAGCACCAATGCAGTGGAAAAAATTCGCTCGTTTTTCGAATCCAGCAGCTACTGACTCAAAACGTTCTTTCGTAAGTTTCGGAATACATTCTTCAACTAAGCACGACCAAAGAATGTCACAGACCTCTCGAACAATTTTTGAAATTGTAGAAATTCCCAATCGATAGCTATAATACAGATCTGTAAAGCTACATCCACTAGCCAGGTACCTGAAAGTAAAAAAAAAATAAACAATAAATTGAAAATCTATAATTCGAGTCTAGTATTGTTGAATATTTTTTTTGTTACAGCAACTAGTTCTTAAAACGTGGAGTAATATCACAGACCAGTGGCTTAAATGGAGGAATCGAGACAAAAACTCGAAAAAATCAGGAGCAGCTGCATCAAAACTGCGAAAGTATTTGTATCACGAACAACTAAATTTTCTAGAGCAAGGCTTATATCACCGGTCAACTGATGCAAGCATGGCCTATGAGCACTCAGATGAAGCAGAAAGTCAGCAGCAAACTGAAGAGCTCCAGTCAGCAGAAGATCAAGGGACGGCGACTCCGGATGCAACTAAGCAGACTTCGCAAACTCCAACTGCAAAAATCCCTTCCGTGAAGACCACATCTGTGCAACAGTCAACGAGGAAGAGGAAGCGAACCCTCGACGAATTTGAGCTAAGGATGCTTAAATCGGTAGAGGCAGGAGACCAAGAGGACCGTCATATGCAATTTTTTAAGGGCATTCTTCCATCTGTTCAAAAGTTCACAGACAACCAGGTTGTAGATTTTCAGATGGGAGTTCTGCAGGTGATTAAAAACATTCAAAACACTGTCTCTATTCCAACAACCCAACCTCAACAGCTGCAGATTTATGCTCCTCCATGCTCTCAACAAACACACACCAGTACCCCTGCAGCTCTCCATTACAGAACTCTCAGCAATATCCCTCTTCTGACCTTTCATACACTCCACTGCTAGGCAGGGTCTCTAGTCAACATCATGAAACGATTCCATCGAGTACCATATCTACAAACATCATATCTCCTGGTTCTAATGACACACAATCTAGTAGTAATTATAGCAATTTGACATCCCCTTTCTCACATAATTCAGATATTGACTTTTGATCTTTTGAAGTATTATAATAATAAATATATTTTTGCATTAAAAAAATAGAATATTAACCTAAAATGTATATTTTGTTTTTATTTAATTTTAAATAAACATACCTTAATGTAACAGCCAACATTTGTTCAGGTTGGATGCAATTCCTCATATTTGTATCTTGTCTTTGTAGCTGTGTCTGCACACGTTGCAGCAACTCATCAAAAGAAGAAACGCTCTTACGAAAATAATTTAAAAACTTAGTTTCGTCTTCTTTCAGTTGTTGAAAAAGCACAAAGAATGCTCCTTCCAGGTATCTGCTTTCTAGCAAAGGGTGAACCCAAATTTGCCTATTACGTTGTTTTTTTCGCCGATGTTTTAATAAAGCGAACAAAATCGTTTTGCGTCTACTGTCCATCATAATCAGCGGCAAACTGAAGTACCTAGCAAAAAGTGGTCCGGATTTTCGCACACACCCGTCCACCCATGTGAAGAGAGCTCCAGGGTGCTGCCCGGCCGGGGGATCATACGGACGGATAAATATCCTGACCATGTGAAAGAGCGCTTACACCAACTATCACAAATTTGTTAAGAACGATCGAATTGAACACACTCTCAACACCAGGCATAAGCAAATAGGAACAGTTGTACTTATTTGCATTATTTAGGACCAAATAATACGTGAATTTACCGTACCATAGAACGCCTACCTTTGGAAGTAATTTCAACAAAAAATAACAGAATGGATTTTTTCTCTTGCAAGACCAGACGTACACAAATTAATAGTAAATGTAAACATCAAATGATTAAATGATTAGTTGTATATTTATTCATATTCCAATTGCAACATCAATTTCATATTCATTCACTCATTCTTTATATTGTATTTTAAGAGTAAATAAATATTATTGTTAGCAAAAATAACAGTGATGGCCGTTTACGCGTATACATTAATTGTCTACGTGTAGACGTACAGTGCGTAGATCATGTATACAAAATAAACAATACGTATACAATATACAGGGTGCTCCTTAATGATATGCGAATATTCAAGGGTGTGAATTTACATGCAAAATTAATGTTAGTTTGCTTTATAAACTATGGTCTAAAATGTTTCCGTACAAAAACTCGAGGTGTTGAAGTTTTAGGAAAAAAATGAAAATTAATAATATTTTCAGAACCGCTTTATATATTTAACTGATATTTAGTACGTAGTGAAAGTTAATAAAGATGCATATTTACCAATGTAAAAATAATTTTTAGTTTTAACAGTGGCGTGCGTTCGGGTATTGACTTAGATATTTTTTAACAAAAAAATGGTACGCCATTGGTTCTTTATCAAATTATAATATTTTTGAATTCCTCGTTTAATTTAAAATAAATGATCCTTCTTGAACTGTTTTCCTCCGATACGCCATTTTTGAGTAAAAAAATAAAAACCGTTCTGTTGTCCGAGAAAATTAATGTAATAACTGAAGAATGCAATTTAGCAATACATATCTAGTTGCTCTGGAATGTCACTCTCTTTTGACATCTGACAAGTCTCTGTTATTCAAATCTGTTCGCTGTGACATTTTTTTCATTATTTAGTTCTTAAATGCATTACGTATATGGCATTGCCGACGGTAGGTAATGGTGAGCAAGCCAGACTGATTTATCACCAGAGATATATATCCCGATCGTGCTTTGACAGTCGAACCTTTACTAATATTCATCGTCGTCTTGTTGAAACTGGTTCTATCCGAAAAGGAACATCTAAGTGTTAGCACACCTGAAATTGAGGAAGCAGTGCGGCACGAAGTCGAAGAACATCCTGAAAGATCGCTGGACACTTAAATATTTGCCATCAAATTGTTTGGAGAAGTTTAGTGGATTTTTGTTATATCCTTACCATATTTTAAGAGTACAGGCATTACTTCCCATTAATTTTCCAAGGCGTGTGACCTTTTGTAACCACTGACAAAAAAATTACACAAAATCCGCAATTTAAATCAATGATTCTGTTCACGGACGAAACTAATTTTTCCCGAAATTCAATTCAGAATTTTCACAATAATTATTTCTGGGCAGAAGAAAATCCCTATGCCGTAACCGAAACCCATTTCCAACACCAATTTTTGGTTAACGTATGGGCAGGAATTATTGCATTTCAGTGCAGCGGTACGTAATTATTTACAACCTGTTTATCCACATCGTTGGATTGGCCGCGGTGGGCCCCAAAAATGGCCACCAAGGTCCCCAGACCTCAACAGTTTAGATTTCTTTTTATGGGGGCTAACTTAAGACACAAGTGTATACAAGTCCCATTACCACTGAGAAGGAATTAAGAGAAAGAACAGTTGCAGCTTGTGATAGAATAAAAAACACTCCATGGATATTTCAACGAGTGCCCAATTCCATGATAAGGAGGGCGGAAGCATGCATACTAAGTGATTTTCAACAATTTTTGTAATCATTTCGTTGGTTCTAATGTTATGTTTATGTTGTCAGTTGTTGTTGTTCATTACCCCTAATGTGTTTAATATTTCCAATTAAATTAATAATAATTTTGCAAGTTAGACAATAGAATGGTTTTTATTTTGGCACATCGAAGGAAAGCAATTCAAGAGAGATCATTTGTTTTCTAGCATCGTATCGTGCAGTTATCGACGCGCTATTTCACCAATTTCTAGTTGCGTTAAGATTTAGACTCCAAAGTATTAACAATTTCGACATATTTAAATCACACCAAGGTTTGTTCCAGATATTATATGCAAGTAGTTACTGTTAATTCCGGCGTCATCAACACAGTTAGAAAATGTGTATTCGAGCTGGAGATGAATTCATCCATCAACACGCCCATCATGTTTTTACGTCCAATAAATCTAGCAAAACTTGTTTGTAGCATTTTTGGAAGCAAGTGAACTTATTCAAATAAAAGCTTGCAAATACAAGATGAATCTGAAGTGTACAAAACACCAAAACAATATATTATTACTAAGATAATCAGCTGTCATTCTACCATAATGGATACTCGTGAAAAAGACAATAATTGACAGTTGATACATCTAAATTGCTGATACATCTGCATTATTCCTTATGATTGACCAATAACGACCTTGCCAATCTGAATATTGTCGCTGTGGACGACGCTGAATAAAATCAGTCAAACGGGTGGACTTTCTCTTCCAAAATGTATTTTATGTTAGGAATGTTCGTAATTCATTCAAAAATATGACTTTATAAATACTCTATATAATTTATTACCCCCTGAAATTAAATTTGATAACTTTAAGAAACATTTCAAGAAAATCCGTTTTAACAACGTTCACATCTTTCACTTCTGCTGAAAATAATTAGAGTAATTACATTTAATATGTATAATATCTTTGTTAGATTATTATATAATTAATTATTGCCATTTCTCTACTTTGTTCATGTTTGTATTTATTTTTGTATGGGTTAGGTGGAAGAATACCTTTACCTAACCCTCGCCCAGTTAAAAAGACGATTAAGTATTATTTTTATTATTAGATGTATTGATGTATTTTACGTGATGTATACACTGCGCCCATTTTACTAATGCATACTATGATGATCACTAAGTATTTGTCTCCCTCTTTCAACGTACTCTTTTTATTTTTTTTTTTTTTTTTAGAGCGAGAAGATGGCGTATGCAATATATGACTCTGGATGGGTAGATGGTGATATACGACACAAAAAATTGACAAATCTGTTTATTTCACTAAACAGACAGCCACTGGCTATACGTCTATGTGGTGGAATAAGCATCGCATCGTTGCCACTTTTCGTTAGGGTAATAGAAATCCTCGTTTTTAACAAAACTCCAAGGGCTGTATCATCAGTCGTTCGTACAATTGTAGGACCTCTCTAGGACCTGCTTGATTTTCATAGCTGTCCTTGTCCTTCAGAAACACGGGGATATTTTTAGATTTCCACTGTTTCGTGTCAGCGCTATTTTGAGGTTATATTTTCTTTTTCAATTCTCAGATACTTTTTATCATCTGTTTTATAAACCTGAAATTTCTGAAGATTCAAAAAGAGAACGTAACTTCACTATAGGAGAGCGCTGAAGCTGACAGGGAACAGTAGAAATCTGAAGATGAGAAAAGACTCATAATAATCAAGGATGCCATTAAGCAGTCCTTCAATTGTATAAACGACTGACGATACGACCCTAAGAAATCTGGTGCACTTGCAAAATCCTGGGGCCTGATTCTAATTGCAGACCATTAAAATTAATTTCGATGGCACCTGGCCGTCATATCTTTGACCCACTATAATAACTTTGATACTGGCATGGTAGTTTGATCATAAAAGAACACTAGAATCAGGTGTCAAAATTATCATAGTGGCCTATGCGAGCACTGTTTCAGTCAAGTTGCCCCAACTATCAAAGCTACATTTTTTTTGAAATTTGTCATAAGAGCGGACACGTGTTAAAAACTAAAATGTATTTCTGATAGTAAATGATATTTCTAGTTAATATTAGCCTAAAATGTTAGATTTTCTTTGTAAGAAGGATAAAATATCGATTCGTTCGGAGGTTTTTCTTCATGATATGCCACAAGGTTTCTAACGGCGATAGATCTGGACTACTCGACGTCCATTGTAAAACCGAAATATTGTTTTCTAATAGCCAATCTCCTACTTTTTTAGCTCACTGTCTTGTGGGAAGATACATTCAATATTGTTTAAACGCATTTGTTCAATTTGGGGTATTATTGTGAAGCACATTAATGTATTTACCAGCATTCATAATAATAATAATAATAATATTTATTCACTCAATGTACAAAGATAACAAACAATATGAGTAAATAAATATAAAATCAAAACAGGCTAATATATAATATATAATACCTTCCACAAAGTGAAATTTCCTACTCCACTTGCTGACATGGATCCCCAAATCATAACAGAAGTCAAAAACTTAACTTTTTTTACGAAAGTCATTCTGAAACACTTCTTTAGTTCTTAACACTACGCTCACTATCATCAACGCATACCTCTAATCTGGCTTCATCACTCCAAATAATGGAGTTCCATTGGTTCGAAGACCATAATTTGTGTTCTTTGGCCCAGTCTGTTTTTTTTTCTAAATCTTTGTTAGTAAGGGCTTCGCTTTGGCCTAGGAATTCTGGATTGAAAATGAATTATAGGAAAATAATTTAAGGCTAGCGTGTAAGTTTTAAATCGCATTTTTTGGACAGCTCTGTGACAAGTTGCTCTTGAAAACTTTTGTGTGGTTGCCTGATTGCATAATGTTTTCAATTCGTTATACTTGGCACGACGATTTTCCTTGATAATCGGTTTTAAGGTTCTTAAGTTGGTATTGGAGTAACGCGGCCGAGTACGAGCTTTCGATTTTTGAGCCACAGACCAAGTTGTTTTGTACAATTTAATAATTTTTCTAACTGTATACCTGGATTTGTTAACACTGTCAGCGATTATAAATGCAAGTGAATGATCACTTTTCTTATTCCGTCGGAAACAGCTTTACCACGAGTCATTTTTAATTGTTAACAACAACACCAATGCATTGAAAGTTGATTTGAACGCTAAAAAAATGCTTCGTAAAATGTTATCATTTGTTTTACAAAGCCCATCTTTATTTTATCGAAGCGAGTTCACAGACCATTCAACTTAAGTTGTCTCCATCATGTATTTTTATTTAAGAATAGGTTTTGTTATCTTTCCATAAACATTTAAATAAACACAGATATATTATATTTGAACTGAAAATTTAATTAGACCCTAAATACATTCACAAAAAAATATCATATTTTGGGGCTTCACTGAGACAAGGCTCGTATGTAGACGGAAACGCGACATCTAAATTGATATCAACAGTTGAAATTCGTTTAGAATCAAGTCCCTGGACACAGCGACATCGCTCCTGGCTGGTATAAAATAGCAGAAGTTCCTATGAAGGATTCTGTGCACGTAGTTAACAAGACCTGGCATAACAGCAGCTGAGAATCATTGAAAGCATTTTTCACGGGAAAATTGATAACACTCAAGTTGGTCAGTTACCTTACAACATTTACACAACTTCAACATGCTTTCCTTGATTATTAATAAGTGGCAAAAATGTATGAGTTGGATTTTTACTTCCCACGCCTACTTACGAGGAAGGATTGTAATCTCCAAATTGTCAAAACTGAGACGTTTGTTTTAGATGTTAGATGACATGTATATCACGAAAAATCAGGTCAGGTCTGTAGTCTGTCCGTGCGCTAATCCTTACCCGCCTATAACTATAGAGAAGTACTACTCGGACTTCGATAAAAATTTCGCATAAGGTTACTTCTATGCCCAGGACAAAACAGCTTTGTAGATTTTATAAATCGGAGCAGGCGCTGCGGAACTACGGGAAACAAACAAAAAAAAACCCAAACTTTGTTTTTTGATGTTTCATGGGTTTACGAACATTTTAAAAATAGTGGTTTGTGTTTTGCGGGGGCGGGGGAGAGTATATGAACCTTGTCTCAGTGAAGTTGGCCCAACACCCCAGAACACGATATGTACATATTTGTGAATTTATTTGAGGGCTTATTGAAATTTTATTTCAAATATAATATTTTTGGTTTCTTCAAATGTTTATGGAAAGATAACAAAGTCGACGCGAAACGTTAGAGCGTTTTTATTTCGAAATTTTCTTCATCGCAAAATGTGTATGTATGAGCTATAACGTTAAGCATAATAAGAATAATGATGTTGGTCACTCGCCCACTGACAAAAAATGCCCGTCGTATTTATATTTTCAAAAACAGTATTCATCCAGAATAATGTTTTGAGCGTTTAGTTTTTTTTACGATTTTCGAGCTACATATCATTTGCAAAATTTTACATGGATAGTTACGTAAATAATTTTCAGGTTAATGATATCAATACAAATATTGCTCAAGACGCAAATGCTCTTAATAAATGGTTAGAATATTCTAATTTCAATGTTGGCTTATATCACATGAATATACGAAGCCTAATACAAAATTTTGACTGTTTTAATATCTTCCTAACTACAATTAAACACAAATTTGATATAATAATATTAACAGAAACTTGGAAAATTAATGATGTATCTTTGTTCTGTTTGGAAGGTTATGATACGCTTTACAATAATGGTACGTACAATCAGAATGGTGGGGTGGTAGCATATGTAAGAAATGATATCAACTACAGATGTGATTTTGTTAAATTTGATGACGGTATCACAGTGTTGGATTTGATATTGAGAATTAATAACAAAAGTGTAAAAGTCACATCTGTCTATCGACCACCATCATCAAACCCTTATACATTTGTAGTAAATCTTGAAAAATTTTTGTTAGATAACAAAAATGCCATACAGTCACACCACATCATAATAGGAGATATGAATATTAATATACTCCAACATACCAAATTAGTAAACAAATACCTCACTGTAATGCAGAGCAATGGATTCATATCAAATATAAATTTACCAACAAGAGTAGTCAATAATAGTTCTTGCATTGATCATTGTTTCATCAAAAAATTTTCAAATTTCTTTCGGTACATACCGTTAATTGTTGAAAACCATATTACCGATCATTTACTGTAATACTTATATCATCACCAGAAAAAAATAAAAGTAGATCCATCTCCAATAATGAAACAGTGAAATTTAGGTGTTTTGTCGATAATAAAAAACTACTTGCAAATATCAAATTAGAATCGTGGACAGCAGTGTTCTGTGCAACGAATGTTAATGATGCTGCAAACACACTCATTGAACGCATAAAATATTTAATTGGATGTAGTACAAACAGAGTTAAAATTAAACATTTTGGCAGAAGCAGGAATCCCTGGATAACTAAAGGTTTGATAAAGTCTGCCAACAAAAAAGAGGAACTATACAAAATAATGAAAGCATCGCCATGTGCAGATACCTCCCATAAATATAAAGAATATAAAAATATTTTTATCAATCTAGTTAGAGAAGCAAAACGCCAATTCTATCTAAAAAAATTACAAGATGCCAAATCTGATCCAAGAAAACTGTGGTCAGTTGTCGATCACTTAACTAACAAAGACGTTCAAGAAAAGCCAAATATTGATGAAATTAAGAATCGTGATGGAACAATATTAACAGATAAACGACAAATATCCGATGCATTCTTAATTTTTTTCACTAATGTTGGAGAAAATTTAGCATCCAGTATTAAAAAAATGGTTTCGAACGAAAAGTTCACAACAACCCAACTTCTCAATTCATTCTTTTTAGAAAGCGTTAGTCCGATTGAAGTACAAGAAGCTGTCCTATCACTTAAAACCAAAAAAAGTCCTGGTGTAGATGGTATCGAAGCTGACCATTTAAAAATAATAGCCTACGACTTAGCCGAACTACTTTCTTACGTCATTAATTGGTGTTTCCAATCTGGAATTTGTCCTGATGCATTTAAAACAACTGTTATTACTCCTGTTTATAAAAGCGGTGACAGAATGGAAACATCAAATTATAGACCCATATCAGTACTATCGAATATAGCCAAAATTTTCGAAAAATTACTACAAAAAAGGATATTACAATTTTTGGACAAAAACAAAATTATATGTTCTGACCAATATGGATTTAGAAAAGGAAAATCTACTACAGATGCAATTTTGGCTGCAATGGATGAAATTAACTCTAATGTCAACAAAAAGATACCTACTATTGGTATCTTTGTTGATCTAAAAAATGCCTTTGATACGGTTAACCATGTCGAGCTTCTGAAAGTTATGGAAAGATTGAGATTTAGGGGAGCGTCACAAATCCTTTTAAAAAATTACCTTTCAAGTCGGGCACAGACTGTCAAAATCACTAACACTTACAATAAAAAAATGTACATCAAGTGTGGTGTGCCTCAAGGAACAGTACTAGGCCCACTATTATTTAGTCTCTACTTAAATGACTTATTCAAAATTAACAGTTCTGGAAAGATTATATGTTTTGCAGATGACACCCTCGTATTATATAAAGCTGATGACTGGAGCACACTAAAGCAAATAGCTGAACAGGATTTTATAAGGATCATTGACTGGTTTGATACTAAAATTTTAACAGTTAGCTTCAAAAAAACAAAATTTATTGCATTTACATCCTATTCAAAATTTTTACCTACCTTCGAACAAATTTCCGTTAATTATCATGGCCAAAAGGCCAAAATCGATAGAAATATCTTGGAATATTTATAGACTCACATCTAAGGTGGGATAACCATATTAAATATGTTATCAAAAAAATTAGAAATGTTGCCTATAAACTCAAAATGCTTGCTAACATTCTTACAGAAAGTTATCTGCGAATCCTATACCATGCCTTAGTTGAAACCCATATAATATACGGCATCACAGCCTGGGGTGCCGCCTGCAAGACATATATTTCTGACCTGAATATAGCACAAAAAACTGTTTTGAAAGCCATTTTCCATAAGCCAAGATTATATCCAACGAACAACTTATATCAAGAAACAGGGATACTTGATACAAGACAACTTTATTTCTTACATGCCACCACCTTATACCATAAGTATTGTAATAAAAAGAAAAAATCCTATAAACACGAGCATAACACACGATTTCGAATAGGCTCATCTAATATCCAAAGACCACACAAAACATTATTCAAAAAATCATTTAAATTCTTAGCAGCTAAATTATATAATGTAGTACCAAACGAAATAAAGATACTTAATTTTGGAAAAAAATTTAGAAGAAAATTGAAAAACTGGGTTAGTAATGTGCATCGAATGACTATACATAATTATATAGAAAACTAAAACTACAAAATTCCAATTACATTAATACCTTTTAGATTTAACAATAATTGTTATACACATATATGATTGATTGTTAGTTATTAAGATATAAACCACACACAGGCGATGCCTTCTGTGGTTTTTTCATATTTATTTGCCCATTTTTTGTATTTTGGCGAATAAATATTATTATTATTATTATTATTATATAACAAAATACATGGAAGTTGAATGGCCTGTTTATTCACTTCGATAAAATAAATGTAGGCTTTGTAAAACAAATAAAATATTTTGCTTTACCAAGAAGCTGATTTTTGACATTTAAATCAACTTTCAGTGCTTTGGTTTTGTGATTAACAATTAAAAATGGCGCGTGGTAAAGCTGATTTTGACGAAATAAGAAAAGTGGTCATTCACTTGCATTCAAAAAGATAGAGGTTTACAGTTCGAAATATTATTAAATTAAACAAAATAACGAGATATATGGCTCAAAAACCCAGAACTGAAAGTTTCCTGCGTTATTCCAATACCAACTTAAGAGCCTTAAAACAGATTCAAGAAAAAATATTATTTGTCTTTAATTCAGTATTTCTAGGCAAAAAAGAAGCCCTTACTGACACAGATCCAGAAGAAAAACAGACTAGCGTGGGCCACGGAATACAAATTATGGTTTTCTAACCAACAAAACTCCACTATTTGGAGTGATAGTGCCAGATTTGAAGTATGTGTTGGTGATAGTAGGATTTGTGTCATAAGAACTAAAGAAGTGTTTCAGAATCATTATCTTAAAAAAAGCTAAGTTTCCGGCTTCTGTTTTTTGATTTGGGGATCCATGTATGCACTTTATGGAAGGAATTATGAATGCTGAAATACATTGACGTGTTCAAAATAACTTAATACCCCAAATTGAACAAATGCCTGTAAACAAATTCAATGTACCTTCCAATAAGGTCGTGCTGCTTGCCATACGGCTAAAAAAGTAAAAGATTGGATGTTAGAAAATAATATTTTAGTTTTAAAATGGACGTCCAGTTTTCCAGATCTATCGCCGATTGAAACCTTGTGGCATATCATGATCATTGATTTCGTTGATTTTTATTCATCGGCAGTTTTTTGAATTTGTAAGATACTTTTTCTTTGTTACAAAAAACTGCAGCATTTTAGGCTAATATTAAATAAAAATATCGTATGTTATCAAATTTCATAAAAAACTTGGCTTTGATAGTTAGGGCAACTTCACTGAAACAGGACTCGTATAGGCCGCGACATGAAGCAGTAGGAATCTAAAGGTACCCTTGTGTTTCTGAAGAACAAGAAACTGACTGAAACCTTGTGGCATATCTTGAAGAAAAAGCTCTGATCGAATCCCGCAAAGACTGTTCCAGAATTGTGAACCTGTCTCCAAGAAATTTGGAACAGCTTCACACCAAATGACTGATAAACGTTAGTTGGCACTCTGTCAAGACATTTCGAAGCATTAATCGAAAAGGCGATGTATCGCAATGAGGATTTGCTCCTATTTGGATTCGTTGATTTATATTAATCAGCAGTTTTTTTGGATTCAAAAAATGTTTATTCTTTTTTACAAAAAATGTAGTATTTTTGGCTAATATTAAATAAAAATATCGTGTGTTTTCAGAAATACATGTTAGATTTTAATAAGTTTCCGCTATCACAAATTTCATAAAAAAAGTTTTGATAGTTGAGTGAACTTCACTAAGACAAGGTCTCATTGTTAATAAAAGACAACGCACATCTTGGTGATCTTTTTATGTAGTTGTCATTAGAAGCTTCCCCCTCCTTTCCATCAGTTTTTTTTGGTCTATTATGAACTGATGACAGAATCGCGTGGGAAGTACAACCTATTTAACGCTATTTCTTATCATGTTTTTAAATGGTAGCTAGTTGACAAAATATTATTTCATTGTTACAGATCATCAAATCAACCTATTCTGCCTTTACCATATTACAAACGTTTCAGTAGCTGTGGACATCTACTCTTGTGATGTGAATCAGATCCTGTGCATTTTATAAATTTTATTATACCTTTCAAGCATGTCAGTTTTGCTTTTTAATACCCTCTGTCCCAATTTTGAGTTCTACCTTTAAAACATGTAGCGAAGTGTGTATTGTTGATGTTCTGTGATAACGCTGAAAGTAGAATTTAGTTTGAGGTTTTAAATTCCATAAAGGAAGTTTCTCAATGCCCGTTCTCATTTAGTTTTGAACGGCCTGGGTATCTTGAAAAGAGACATTATGTCTTTTTTATTTGGCGTGGTATTGTTTTTTGTGACATTATGTAGGTTTTTCTATAAGAAACTAACTTAGCACTAGCTCATGGACATTTGATGAACCCGTTTTGTAGCTGGACGTGTTGCCTACACGTCATGATGCTTTAGCTATCAATGTTTGGATCTGCTTCAGAGGTGGCATTATTGGAGGTCTAAACTGTAAGTTGTATACTGTAACTAACGGGTGATTTTTTCAGAGGTATAGGATTTGATTTAAAAAAAAACACAAAAAATTTGAAAAAAACGATTAAATCTTTATTTGAGTCGATAGAACGTTCGATATAATTTAATATTTAAAGATTATTTCATGTAAATGTTGGCCGCGGCTCCGCTTTAGATGGCCCATGCACAAGGTCCAATTTTGGCACACTCTCTCAAACATATCGGCCGGTATCTCACGAATAAATGCTTCAATATTGGCTTACAGTGCGTCAATCGTTGCTGGTTTATCCCTGTAGACATTAGCCTTAACATGGCCCCACAAGAAATAGTCCAACGGCGTTAAATCACATGACCTAGGCGGCCAATTGACGGGACCCAAACGTGAGATAAACTGTTCACCGAACTCGCCTCTCAATAGAGCCATCGTTTCATGTGCGGTGTGGCATGTGGCATCGTCTTGTTGAAACCACATGTCAGCCAAGTCCAGCTCTTCCATTTTGGGCAAAAAGAAGTTTGTTATCCTCGCACGGTAGCGCTCGCCATTCACAGTTACGTTCCGGCTATTGTCGTCTTTGAAGAAGTACGGCCATATGATCCCACCGGCCCATAATCCACACCAAACAGTGATTTTTTAGGGATACATTGGTAGCTCTTGCAATGCTTCTGGCTGGTCTTCACTCCAGATGCGGCAATTTTGCTTGTTAACGTACCCATTCAACCAGAAATGCGCGTCGTCGCTGAATACAATTTTTCGATAAAAATGTGGATCTTCCTCCAACTTTGCCAGCGCCCATTCACCAAATTGGAAACGTTGTGGGAGGTCGTGTGGCTTCAATTCTTGCACCAGCTGTATCTCATAACGTTTTACATTCAAATCCTGTCTCAAAATTTTCCACGTAGTGGAGTAACAGAGGCCCAATTTCTGCGAACGGCGGCGAACCGACATTACACGGTCATCACTAACACTGGCGGATACAGCCGCAATATTTTCTTCAGTCCTCACTGTACGTCTGCGTGTTGGTGGTTTAATGTCCAATAATGTAAACTGGGTTCGAAATTTAGTCACAAGCTTCGAATAGCTCCCTCAGTAGGCCGACCAAATTGCCCATAAATTGGAAGCAGTGCTCTTAACCGAGCATGATTTTTGATAGTAAAATTCATAAATTTGCAAGCGTTGTTCGTTCGTAAGTCGATTCATTGTTAAATTATAGACCAAACTGAACAAGTTTGACACTGACACAAGACACGATTCACGCGTCATCTGTCAAAAACAGTGTTGCCAAAAAGATACTAGCAAAAAAATCACCCATTAGAAGGAAACGGCACCGCATAGGTGGATAGTGAGGATTTGTGCGCTAATAACATGTCTTGTCTCAAATACACCAACTTGAGATTCAAAGCTAAAAATTAGTTGCACCTCCACTTTTTATTATTCATTCTGGAAATTACATACGCAAATTTGCTGGATTTCAAATATAAGAGAGATAAGGAAAGAAAATCCCTGGATGGTGAAGGAATAGTTGAGAAAATTTGCTACAGACAAATATTTATGGAAGTTTTCATTGCCAGTTATTTAAACCTTATAGAAATTTATTTTTCAATGTCAGTAAAAAATACAAATCGGCGCCTAGGCGCGAGGCATTGCGAAAATGTTTGATGTGTGATGCGTCACTCCTATTTTTTCTATGATGTGGCTTAATTGCACACAACGCGGACGCGCTGGCGATTTCCCGTAGTGCACCTCAAAGTTTTTGAAAACACAAGAAACGGAAAAATCGTAATATATAACTTTGAACATACCCTGGCTTCAGAAGCGGCAACATATACTAAGTGACATATAAATCCGAACACCCACTTTAAATGGTTTTATTTTATTAAAAGTTGGTGAATGTATTTATCTTACTGTAAATAACAAGTGAAAAAATTTTCAGCCTTATCAGTTGGACATTCCGGTTTTTATACTGCTTTTTTTTAATTCACTAACGCTCTAAAAATGAATATTTCAGCCGCAGTAAAGAATCGACGTTGGCGGATTTTGGTTCTTGACATCCTTTACGATCGGTTACGATACCTAGAGTACGGAGACCTGTACGATTTCGTCAACTTAGTGAGTTTGATAGGGACCGTATAGTGGGACTTTAGGAAGCTGGACTTTCTTTTCGGGCAATTGCAGTTAGAGTGCAAAGAAGTGTAGACACTGTGGTTAGGTGTTGTCAGGCATGGCTTCGAGAAGGCCGTACGCAAAGAGCAAGGGGCACTGGACGCCGCCGTAGAACAACAGACCGTGAAGATCGCCGCCTAAGATTATTGACCTTAAGAGACCGTTTCTCCACTACCAGGTCCATTGCAAATGAATGGTTTGCAGAACACGGAAGACCTATTGGCATGCGAAGTGTTTACCGATGAATGAGAAGTTTTGGCTTGTTTTCATACTGGCCACACTGGGTCCTCCCTTTAACTCGAGAACACCGACGTAATTGCCTTGAGTGGTGCAGACAACGGTCACTCTGAGATCAGGAATGGAACAGTATTGTCTTTAGTGACGAGTCTCGATTTTTTTTAGGCATGTACGATGGTCGTGCCAGGGTTAGAAGGCGACGTGGTGAAAGGAGGAATCCACAGTATTTTGTTGAAAGACATGTTCATCACACTGTTGCAGTTATGGTTTGGGGTGCTATAGCTTATGGTTCCAGGTCACCTTTAATCTTCATCAGAGGTAACATGAACGCTCAGTGTTATATCCACGAAGTTCCAGAACCCCATCTTTTACCCTATCTCGACACCCTGGCAGATCCAACTTTCCAACAAGATAATGCCCGACCACATGTTGCAAGAGTCACAATAGACTTCTTTCAACATAATGATGTCACATTGTTACCATGGCCACCAAGATCTCCCGACTTATCCCCAATTGAGCACGTGCAGGATATGATGGGTAGGAGATTGCTCAATTTGCAACGTCCTCCTCATACTCTAGAAGCACTTCGAGAGGAGTTGGTGGTTGCCTGGAATGAGATACCACAGGAGGACATTGACCACCTGATCAGAAGCATGCCTAGGCGCGTTGGAGAATGCGTAGCAAATCAGGGTGCGTCCACACATTATTAAAGGTCAAAGGGCTTTAAAGCAGTGCAATCATTTTGAAATTTTTATCATTTACTTATTATGCTTCATTAAGTACTTAAACAAAATTTTATTAAAATAAAACCATTTAAACTGGGTGTTCGGATTTATATGCCACTTTGTATATAAATAACCCGTCGGGCACAGCTAATAGATATACTTCATTGGAAACAATTTTCTCACACAGCAAATATTACTGATTTCGTACACATGCAGACCAATCCACATAGTCAGCCAGATGCGATGTTGCTATTCAACCAACTTTTTTTCACATCTCAGAGATTAACATTACTTGGCTTCACAAAACATATACTTGCTTTCTGCAGCCAGCAATGCGTGTAGTTCAGAAATTCCTTCATAGCTGGACGCTTACTATTTGCACCCTAAAAACTACCTAGTCTACAAGATAACAGGTTTTTTACGTTTTTTTAAATAATACCCCTCCCGGTCATGTTACCAAATGGCAATTCGTAGCGTAAACGTGACATTACAGTTTGTTAATTTCAAAGCGACGGACTGGTGTGCCTTTAAAATTGGGAATATTCGTCCTTTGACTCGGTTCGTCTTTTGGAACGTGCCATAATTCATCCAAAAACAATTTTAAAAACTATTCGTTTTTCAAATCGAATGGTTTGTACTTTAATTGTATACCCGGATAAAGCCTCCCAAAAGAATATTAGTGAAACATGCCGTGGTGTGCTGAAAGGTATTTGCGGAGCTATAAGCAAGCTATTCTCTTACACCGAAGTAGCAGCGCAGGCAGAAGCCTAGCTGCCAGGGCACCACGGCTGCTAAAAGGAGATTAAAGAAACTATGTTAGTCCGATTTTTGAACTGGACAAGGTTAGTAGAACCTGGAAAGCGTCGTCATGTAGAGTGTTCCGCAATCTGTATACCCTACGGACAAAGGAGCGGTCGTATCGGCTAGTTCTGGGTGTACGAAGCTCGACATAGTTAGGATGGGAGGCTGAAGTCAGGCAGGTCTGTATAGCAGGCATAATGTGCGGCGGCATCATAGAGGATAGTTCTGAGGAGCAAAGCCCGTGGGCGCATCGGTAGAAGATAGCTAGATCGATGACAGCCTGGCGGTGGGAAAGGGTCCTGAGGGAAGAGTCAAACATGTGAGGAGTACTTGAGGCTAGGTCTTATCTGGGCCATGTATAGAGCGTAGCTTTATCCCAGCAGCTACCACTATTGACGAGATGCGCTCGTGCCAGATCAAGTCCTCGCTGATCTGGCCACCCATCGAAACCGGCGCTAGAATGGCTTAGCATTACACTGCACCAGATTGCTGCGTCCTCAAGCAGTGATTACCTCCAGATCTCTCCTTAGTCGGCTCTAGTCTTCTTTTTTTCAGCTTACTGGCAGTGACCGGATTGTCGCTCTGGATTCCTGCACGTAAAATGCAGTAAAAAAACTGTGGATTGGATTGACTGTACCGAAAATGAGGTCCTTGGTACGCATCGGAGCT